TTTCTACGTTCGCAAACTCTGTGTAAAAACCAAGGTTACGTGAAAAGATACCGGATGCGTCGTCGAGAGGTCGGCGAGCGTCGAGTAGATGCCAAAGCTGAGGCCCATGTACGGCGCGATCCGGTATATAGGGACGTACGTAGTACTACCCCTAGCCCCACCCTAACCCTTTGATCCGAATGATCCAGATGACGGTGGATGATGTCCATGCCATTGATGTGGCTGCGGACTGCCGGGTCCAAAGACAACGAGCGCATGGAGCGCTAGACGCATGTCAACGTGTCGCTCGCTGACCATTGCAAAAGGAAGCGACTAGGGTCGAGCGAACGAGGGATACAGCTCACGTTTTAATGCATGGGCGAGCGTGCGCTAGGCCAAATTCTCGCTGCACAGACCAGTCACATAGTCGATCGTAACGCGGCACAGCGGACACGACGTTGCTTGGTCGATCCAATGGCCGATGCAGCCCGCGTGGAAGAGATGTTTGCAGGACGTCACGACGATGACGCCGGCTTGGCAAAGCTCGCTCGCGCCAAAGGGCACAAGGCAGATGGGACACGCGGCGTTGGTTACCGAGTCGTCCGGTGCAGTGGTCAGCGGCACTGCGAGCACGCAGATCATTGTGTCGTCCTCACTAAGCTGTCGCGGTGCTGCCGCCACCGGGACAAGGTTCGCTCGTGCACAATTCGGGTAGTCAGCGGTCTCGTCTTCGAGTGTCTTTGGCGCACCGGTTGCTTCGGGAAGCGGCGGTAGCTGGTTCAAGTCGGGGGCCGACGCAAACTCGGCGCCTGGTGCCTCGGGTGCTGACGGCGCAGGGCCGTTCTCAGGCAAGATTTCGTTCATGGTCGCGACTGGAGCCGTGGGCTCGCGCCGTGTCCGCTCGAGCGGCAACACGATGCCGAGCGACGGCAGCACGACGACCTTGCGCACGGTCTGGACGAGCGCGCGAACCTCCGAGATGGCCGATCGGTGGGGGTCCATGAGATGAATACGCGTGTGTAAGAGCGCAAAGAAGAAATCTTGGTAGAGGCGAACGCGCTTCTGGGCCCGCTTGTGGCTCGTCGATGTAAACAGCGTCTTTGGTAGATCGATGCGTAGCACGGGCAGCAACAGTCGCACGTACTCGGGGTCGGCTCTGAGTGCATTGGCGTGCGTGACGAGGTCGGTGCGCAGCGCAATGAGCTTGGAGTGGCGGAGCGTGACGTCCCACCACACCTTGTGCAATGGGCAGAGCAGTGTGATGACATACTCTGTGTGCACATCGTAGCTTCTTCGAGTGTTGAGACGCGGCGTGATGGCGATTTGGAGAGGCGAGACGAGCTCGAGATGCTCCTGCTCGTTGCTGCTGCTCGCCTGCATCGACGACATGCTCCTTGCTATGGTATTAGTGCGCGTGTCGACTAGCACCAGCTGGCGCCATGCCTGTCACAAATGCGGTTTTCCGGCGCAATCTCTGATAATCACGCTGTAAAAAGACGCTACGGAGGGGTCTTTTTGGCCAATCAGATCGCGTATAAACTTCCGTGCCGCTCATCACCACCATTTCCATGGACGACGACTGGCACACGGCTCTCTAAATGTACCTACGCGTCAAGACTGATTGTTCGTGTTATTGGTGCCGATATCGTGCGCCGATACAATAGGAATGCGTGCCTCTTCGCTGACAGTACAATGACTTGCGAAATGTATACTACATAGATGGTGGTCGTCGATTGGCTCAACGCATGACCGCTTTTAACGCTGCGTCTTTTTTACGTCTAAACAAACGCAACTCCAATCTCGGATCCTCATCCTGTTTGCACGAGGTCGGGATTCACGACCTCGAAGCGCGACAAGAGGGAGCGTGCGAGACCACGCACATGATACCAGCGCTTTTCAAGTAGAATACGACACGCCATGTTTTTAATGCGACGTTGTAATACGTTTTAATACGCGTTTATTATTAATCATTGTACAAGCCCGTGATGTGGGCAATGTTGTCTCGACAGAGCGGGCACGTCGTCTTCGCAAGGCCAATCCAGCTGTCAATGCACGACGCATGGAAGAGATGGTCACAAGACGTCTTGACGATGTGGCCCGCGGTCTGGAACTCGTCGTGTGTAAAGGCGACGAGGCAGATCGTGCAGTCGTTGTTGAAGAGCGCGGACACGGCCGGCGCTTCCGTGAGCGGCACGCCCACCGGAATCTCGTCGTCCATCTCGGGCGCGGTGCCAATCGGCGTCAATGGCGGTGCGTCCGCGGCCTCGGTATACGGCGTGCGCAAAAACGTCTGCACGAGGATGACAAGGTCCCGCACGACTGTGTGCGACTGCCGGCGCGACGCGAGGTGCAACTTGGCGTTGAGCAAGTTAACGAAGAAGGCCCGGAAGCCATGGATGCGCTCGTTTTGGACTCTGAGCGAGGACGACGAGAGGCGGCGCGGCGGGAACCAAGCAGAGGGCACGACTGTCGAGAGCGCCTCGACGAACGCGTGCTTCTCCCAATGCAATGTGAGGTGCATGCTGCAGAGGCGGTCGTAGAAGGCGCGGATCTTGGAGTAGCGCGCTAAGATGACCCACCACTGGCCCAGGACGGGGCAGATGAGCGCGATGCGGTACATGACGACGCCTTTCTCGACGTACGCTTCGACGCGGACATGCTCGAGGCCGTTGAGATCCATGCTCGGATGTGTGTGTGACCTTCGGAGCCAATTTGCCAATTGCGCCCGTGACTCACCTTGCTGGCTCTGGAGGTGCACTTTTTATTCTAAAAACACGCAACTACCCGATGCCGGGTTGTTAAAATGATTCTTCGATGCTTGTCCTACCCATGGTCCTACCCTGGTTCATGCAGTTGTCTTCGCAAGTCCTCTGTCCATTGACGCATCGTCAGCAAAGGTCTACAAACGGCGGCGACTCGGATATAACAAAAGTTTTGCAGGGTGTCGCAGCGGAAACACTGTCAATACCCAATGGTCAATACCAGAGTATCGCACCTGTCTACGGGAGCAAAATGCCATAACAGCGTCAGCGTCTTTGACCACACTGGATGCGCTAAAATGATGTACGGACAAACTACACTCAAACTACATAAGACCCGTAGGACTCTTTTTCACAGAATCGTCACGTTGGGTCTTGGAAGCTTGGTAGAGAACGTCGACAAGCCTTTGTGACCGAGTTGAGCAAGGGTATAATAACTCTAGCCTTATTCCCTTGAAGTTGAGTAACCATAAATATCGCTGTCGTTTTGCATTTCGCTGTACTAGCAGGACAGGACGCGCTTGACGGTCGGATTTGTGTCCTGTCGGGGTGTGCTGAATTTACGTAGTGAGACCAGATTCAGCGCCTGGTCTCGTGTCAACTGCGTGGTCCTAATACAAGATCTGATCAGCGAGGGCCATCGTGCCACTTTACTAAGCTTAGACGGTCGGTGCTGACGGCAACAAGGGGTAGGGTCGCGCTTGAAGCGGCGAGAACAACACCCTACACGTCTTTGCCTCGTACTGGGCGCTCTGTCGACCCTCGAAATCCAATGACGTGTCAGATCTGGTGCGTCGCATTGGATCTGGTCGTCGTCTAGTGGCGATGCGCACTTCAAAATTTAACAAATGACACGAAATTATTGAAAAAACATTCATAAATAGTAAAATAAGTTACCGTGGGTGTGCCTTCTACATGTAGAGGCCGACCATCGCATCGACGTGGTCACGGCAAATGGGGCACGACGGTTGCGACTGCATCCACTTGGCGAGGCAGCCTTGATGAAACACATGGCTGCAGCGTGTCTTGACGACGACGCCAGGCACCGAGAGGTCGGCTTCGCTGAACGGCGCGAGGCAGATGCTGCAGTCGACATGGTCCGGGCAGCGGACAATGGCCGGTACCTTTTGGTAGCTCACCGAGAGCATGGGCGGTGCGGCCATGAACGATTGGACAACGGTAACGAGCTGGATCCAGAGCGCGGGCAGGCTGCTGGCATCGTGCGCCAAGTCGATGAGGTGGATCTTCGAGTCGACGAGGCGACAGAAGAAGACACGGAATGCCTTAGTGCGCTCGGCGACGACCCACGACGCCTCCGAGTCGAGGCGCTTGGGCGGGAACGGCGTGTCGAGCAGCCACGCCAGCTGCAAAAGGAGCTCGCGGGCGAGACGGTCCTTGAGCTTGGGGTGCGTTTGGTTGTACGCGGCGAAGAGCGAAGCCAGCGATGTGCGGAAGGCAAGCACGGCCGAGTAGCGCGTCGACAACGTCCAGTCGCGCTTGGTGACGGGGCAGCGAAGGCGCACTGTGTACGAAGTGTGCTTGGCGAGGTACCCGGCCTCGGTCGCGACATTCGTCGTCGAGACCACGACGTCGTCCTCCATCTTGGGTGAGAAGGGCGCTTGGTCCTCGTCGAACGAGGCCATCGGCGAGAGCGCGCGCACGTCGACCTTGCTCAAGCTGCTTCGGAGCGCCATGATCGTTCTTGATTGGTGTTGGGTTTTCGGAAGCGAGTTGAAAAGTGAGGCCAGCTGGCTGTGGCATTGCAGTGACGCCACTGGTCCGGCTTTGTACCCGGACTCGAGAGGTTTCGAGATTCGAGCGAAAAACGTGGGTTCGCCCGACCGTGAGACAGCGTCTTTTGCAGAAGATTGCGATGGCGATGGCCAAGGGCGCAGACAGGCGGGACGGGCAACGGTGTCGATACCGGCGTGGCGTGCGGAGGCGTCGTGGGGCCTATAGTGCGCAACGCATGGCGCCGCGGGGCTCGCGGCGACTACATTGTACCGGCGTTGAATGTGCGAACGACCCTTCCGTGTCGCAGGAGGATGACTGCCAACAGTGCCACCTCTGCTTGGTTTTCGCACCTTTTCGCACAGTGGTTTTTAGGTTTTACACGCATGTGTGGTGTCTATTATTTCGCACGTAGAATACACGCGTGTGATATTCGTACAACGCACGTGTCCAGCGTCGAGGCGTCGTGTGAGGACCTTCCACGCAAGCACGCAGATACAGCAAGACGAATACGATGTCCAGTGAGCTCGTATGTGGTGTAAGGACGTTGGTAGGTGGAGATTCAATCGTGTGAAAAATACGATTTGCACGTGTGGTATGTGAAAGAGCACATGACACATGGGGGAAATCAAGTGCAATGTGCGGGCTTGTACCGCAATAAGTTCGAGATTCGATCGTCGTCGGGCGTTGCATCTGGCGCTCGAACCAGCTTCTGAGCGCTGCGAACGAGCGCGCAATTGCCTCCAGCACACGCCAGTGGAGGTGGATGGGCGATTGGCGCCGCTCGTTGGGTGGGCCCGACGCGCTGCGGCTTAAAAGGCCACTGCCGCCACCAGCGACGGGCCAGTTGAATCTCGGGTTTGGCGCGCGCCGCATCACGCGGTTCTTTGGGACGGCACGGGCTCGGCGATCGGTGGCTACTTGCGGTACGGTGACGTCCACCTACACTTGCACTTCTCGATGCCAAATTCGGAGATTCGAGGCCATACTGCGCGCCAGCAAGGGGCATGGCGACACGTTGGCAAGTCGGATCTTGTCGACTTGGCTGCGAAAAGGAAGCAAACGCATTGGGAGAGTTTGACTTTCGATCGCAGCTAGCGTAGGTACACGTACAACAACAACAGCAGCGCAGACAAAAAGAAGCGCGCGGGCTGCCGACGACGGATAGAAAGACGCGGGAAGCTTCCACGGGAGGAACGACGATGGATGGCTGGCAAACATGATCATCGACATCGTGGAGCCGTTGCTAAATGCCTCGGACTCACGTAAGCTGACTATAAATTGCGTACTATACTTGTTGCGGGAGGAGATCCGGGGCGTCCGAGCAACACACGAGACGCGCAGCTATGCACGACATTGTGCAGCTGGGCGATCGAATCGCCGCATCTGATCTGCACGGTACAGCGTAGTACTGTAACTGAACGCCCCAACTGCCTCAACGCGGCAAGCTCCAATGACATGGAATACATACTTGTACCGTGTACGTATCCCTGCCGAGGCTGCCGAGGCTGGTCAGCCAAGCAGGAGTCCATTCCTCCGAGATTTCAGCGTGCAGAATCCTCGACCTCGGAACACAGCGCGCTGTTGAGCAAACAACGATGTAAACAGTACGCAAGAGCTTTCTTTACACAAGGTGGAGGCGCAGTGAAACCCAAGTGAGCTCGACTGGATTTGGCCACGTTCCAGACTGCGATCAGATGCGTAGCAGATACACACCCACACGATTGTTGCAGTTGCGAGCCCAAGGTCATTCTTTTCGTTCTGATCTTGGTGGACCTCGCCGTTGTGATCGATCGCGCATTATTTTCAAATTTGCATTGAGATGGTTGCGTCACGGCCCTTTTCTCCGCGGCGCCGGAGTGCACGCACCAGCCTTCTCCCTCGTCCAAGGTGGTCCGAGGACTCGGTTTGTGCGGTGGCTATGACGCTAGCTGCGATCGCGAGCTACTGGTTGAGGCTCAAAACCGCTTGCCAACTAATAGTCGCCGCAAGGGGTGCAGGCTGGACTCGTACACTGCCTTTTTGACCGCGAGCAGTGATGACCGCGAGCAGTGATGACCGCGAGCAGGGATGCAGGAAGCACAGCCCACACCATGGGTTCGACACGATGGTTGAGGCACTGCTTGGTGCCATCCGCGTCGCTGCATCACAGCTCAGACTTGGCGCAACAGTAGCTTTTGTGTGGTCTCATCCGCGTTGGGGACGGGGGTAGGGTAGTATTGGCAGCATAGTCTGATGCGTGTGCTCCAAGGGAATCAAAACGATAATAATCCATTCCCTTGTGCCCTCAAGAAGTTTTCTCCTCTTCGCAGCTCTGTGCTGATGTCGTGCCAAGGTCAGCGTTACCTGGAGCACGCCCAAAGTTTGGAGTCAATTTACAGAGAAACATCAAATAATTAGCAAGACAAATATTATAGTACATGTTGCATGCGCGGGTGCTAGACCGACACGGACGTGGCAGAGGACGGCAAGAAGAGACCAACGATCGACTCGATGTGGTGGCGGCAGATGGGGCACGTCGCGGCCGTCTCGATCCACTCGGCGATGCAGCCTTGATGAAACACATGCGTGCACTGCGTTTCGACGACGACGCCAGGCAAATGAAAGTCGTCGCGGGAAAATGGCACGAGGCAGATGCTGCACTCGGTCTCGCTGGGTAAACTACTGCGCGACTGAAAAGCCATCGAGAGCATCGCTTGGGGCACTTCCAGGAACGTCTGCACGAGCGCAATGTACGTGGCCCAGACCGGCGGCAGCGCGGACGCGAGCTGGAAGAGATGCGCCTTTGTGTCGAGGACCTTGTCGCAAAAGGTGCGGAACGCGACGCAGCGCTCGTCAATGACCCAGCCGGCCTCCGGGTCGAGCCGCTTTGGCGGAAAGGGCGTCTCGAGAAGACTGGCGAGCTGCTGGACGAGCGGGTCGTCGCTGCGCGCATACGACGCATAGAGCTTCTGCAGCGCATTGCGGAAGGCGAGCATGGCCGAGTAGCGTTTCGTGACGCTCCAGCGGCGGCGCGTGACGGGGCAGACGAGCATCACGTGGTACTGGACATACTTGCCGGCGTAGCCCGCGGCCTTGGTGCCAATGGACGTCCGGACGCGTGTGTCGGGCGAGGCCGGCGGCGCGGCCAGCAGCGGCGCGAACGCGATCGACGGCGACGGCGCTGCAATCGTGGTCATGATGCTGGCTGGTAAGATTTTGAGAATGGGCTGCAAGGTCTGGACATCGATAT